AAATAAATAACTAAATAAAGCATACTTTACATTTAGAAGCAACGTACCTCAGAGTGACAGATGCTGTGAATAATCAGAAGAACATGATTGTATCAAGACAGAATATGCCCAGCTTAGAAACTTGTTTATCCTTACCAGTGGGGTCTGGGCAGATCCCACAAAGCAATTTGCTTAATTGACACAGCAACCTGTATTTGTTCCAAATTATGGTCATGTCTGGCTGAAAATCTAAAAGAAAAGTCATTGCAAGAAAGAAAGAGAACTTTACTGAGATGGATCTGGCCAACCTAATTATGATGGGGATCAAGTGGGAATGCACAAGTATTCATGCCCTGAAGTGCCAACTGAAACAAGGCTACAACCTTGCTTGTGGGCTTCCTACAAGCTGGTTGATCTTTTGGGAAACTGTATCCTGGACTAGCTGGGTTTGTGGTTTGTTCTAAGAGAGCTCTTACTTCATTCCTATAAGTATTCTAGGGACACTTTTTAAAAATGAATTGGGACCGCTTTTCTGTGAACAGTTCTTACAGCGCTGAGTTATAACTTGCATTTCCCAAGGATATAGGTCTGTGATGGTGAACCAGAGGTGGCACGCAGTACCCTCTCTGATGGCACGTGGCCATCGCCTCAGTTCAGCTCTGCTAGTCATGCGTGCACGCCTCCCGCTGGCCAGCTCATCTTTGGGTCTCTGCCATGCATCCGCAGGGGTGTGGTGCATGCGAGGGGGTGCGTGGTACATGTGGGGAGGTTGTGCATGCATGCACGGGAGCAGGGCACATGCATGGGGTATGCATGCATGTGTGGGGGTGGAGCACATGTACAGGGGCTGGATTTTGCGGATTCAGGTGCGTGCTTTGGGCCCTTGGTCCGGAAAAGGCTAGCCATCACTGATATAGGTTATCATCCTGACCTCACCTATGGAATTATTAGGCATCTGCATTGAATGTTTGAATCCAACCGCCAACAGAGAACTGCCTGATGTACAAGCCAGATTTCATAAAGGAAGAGGAAAGTGTGATCATATTGCCAATCTATGTTGGATGATGGAAAAGTAAAGGAATGCCAAAAAGACCTCTATATGTGCTTCAGTGATTACACAAAAGCCTTTGACTGTGTTGACAACGTCAAGAACTGACACGAAGAACTGGGAATATCACCACACCACATCCAGCTCATTCAATCATTGTACTCTGATCAGGAAGCCATTGTAAGGATGGAATATGGAGACACAAATTGGTTCAGAATTGGAAAAGGCACTGGGCAAGGTTGCCTCCTGTCACTGTACTCCTCAACATGTACACAGAAATAGTTATGAGAAATGCACAATTGGAGGAATCTACCATTGGGGTTAAAATCGGTGATAGGAATACCAACAACCTCCAATATGCAGATGATACAGCAAAGAAGATTGGGAGTGGTTAATCCTGAGAGTCAAAGATGAAAGTGAAAAATTTGGACTGCACCTTAACATCAAGAAAACAAAGATAATGTCAACTGCAGTGAACACACAGTGCAAATCAACAATGAGATCATCGAAAGAATAAAGGAATTCCTGGGCACTAAAACTGACCGAAATGGAGATTGCAGATTGGAGATATATGATCAGAAAGCATATAGCACTTGAAGGAACTGCAATGTCCAGCATGAATAACATCTGGAAAAGTAAACACATTAGCTTCACAACCAAATGCAGATTAAGTTAACACATTTTTTTTTCCCCCAGTTGATACTTATGGTTGTGAAACTTGGACTCTTCTCAAAAATGCAGGTAGGAGAAGGCTGGATGCCTTTGAACTGTGGTGCTGGAGGTGACTGTTACTCATCCCATGGGCTGCAAAAATAACAAACAAAGAGGTCCTAGACCAGGGATGTCAAACTCGTGGCTCGCAGGCTGGATGCGTCACCTGCTGGCCACGCCCACGTCCGGTTTAGCAAAGGGGGGGAAAGTCATGATATTTCATGTGATGACGCTGTGACGACGTGAGTTTGACACTTCTGACCTAGACCAAATCTCATCAAAAATATAATTTGGAGCCAAGATAGCCAAACAGAGGCTGTCATACTTTGGTCACGTCTCTTGACTCGCTCAAAAAGTCAATCATGCTAGGACTGATAAGTGGAAAAAGGAGAAGGGGCCGCCCTGGTACCTGCTGGCTGGATACTATAAAAGGATGACCTTAGGATGACCATAGTGGATCTGAAGGAGGCAGTGCAAGAAAGAGGAGACTGCTGATCCATAGAGTGGCCAAGGGTTGGACGTGACTGAATGGCTGATGACAACAATGATGCTGATACTGTAGTAAAATTCATGGTTTGGGAGTATGGCTTGGCTGCAGTATTAGAAAATAAAAATAATGCAACTAAATTAAAATTTGTTCTCTGTTGCACAAACCCTTGCATTAGTACCTAAGAGATAAATCAACTTGTCAGAGCATTATTGTTACAGTTCCATTTTTATTTTACTTTTTGTCTTTTGGGTCTAAGCAATTTAAGATTCTCATTTGATTCCAGACTTTTTTTTTTAAAAAAAGAAAGAACTCAGATTTAGTATTAGGAATGGTGCTTGCCAATTGATTAAAATTGTATGGTCTTTGTTTTATTTCATGCGGTAAAGGAAATATTCCCATATCCACTCTCCCAAATGAAGTTTTTTAAAAAAACCTATTAAATCTTACTTTACATATTGATGTGCCACATTTAGAAACTATTTTGTAACTTAGAAGCCGAATTACTAATGCAGTGGTTGCTATGGTAAGAACAAATTTCTTACTGAACAGAAGAACAAACAGTTTCCTCACACAAATCTGTTGGATAGATGTGTAAAGATTTCACTTATAAGGGCTGGGGGGATTTCTCCCTGCCTAACTGTTTAGGTACCTGGCTATTTATTCACAATATAAAGTACACAGCCATTTCTCATATGGTATATGACACAGAATTCACACACACGCTCACAAAAACACACCATACTGATTTGTACCTCCCAATTTACATATAAGGATAGCTAAGAATTTTATATTCATATTCTGCTAGGAATATGATTTGGGTGATACATTTCCAGTATATCCATAGCAGGACAAAATCCAGCCAGCTGTATTCAGATTTAAAAAACAACAACAATCTCTTCTTTATTTTTCAGTGTGTGCATAAAATGAGTGCATGCGCATATAGATTTATATGTCACATCTTGCAGTTACTTTGTATGAGACGGTGAGGGCTTGTTTATACATTTCTTTTTCTTTAATGGTAAAAATGCTCTTTATGCTACTAGCATCTGGGGATCTAAGTGTTCCCATAATCATTCCAGGAAGTGTTTTATGAAAAGAGAGAGACAGAGCGAAGAGGGTGGGAGGAGGAAAAAGAATACACCACAGAAATTTGCTGCCAAAATTGAGCAAATAAATGGAATCTAATTATGCTGGTCCACATATCCTAACTCATACACTCCAGAGATAATAGATAACTTATTCATTGGCACATAACAGAAAGGTCTCCTTTGCTTCATGGTGGAGTTGGGTCTAGAAATGATATGCAACTGATTCCACAATAGCGATTTGGTTTTTTTTAGAATAAAAATTATAGTGAATACTGTATATACTATTATGTGCCCAATTAGACAGTGATTATGTGGCACTCTTGAAATCTTGGCAATGACTTGGTTCCAATTATAGAAAAAAAAATACTGTGGTATTTCCCACATTCAAGGCATCCAGATGTATTTGGGCATTACCTGAACTCGGACAGAGAGGTTTTTCCAAATTGTATTAATAGTCTGGGGAAGGGAGGGAGCATTCATGGGAAGGATTAGGGCTACGAAATTAGCCCAGCTCAATTTGCTGTATATCTTTTTATTCTATCCTTATTAGAAATAGTGGTGTTACGGTAATATCACTGCCCGTTAAGAATGTGTCAAAGACACCTTGTAAACCAGTAGAAGAGAATCTGAACTGTGGTGCTCTCTGAGTTATTGTTTTCTTGCAGACATGTCATTATTCAACTAGGTAACATCATCAGTGCTGGAAAGAAGTGTAAGAGCTCTCTGTTTATACAGTATATGTATAAACCCCACTCCTTCCAGTACTGATGTTATCACCTAGTTGGGTAAAGCCAATAGTTTGACTGCGATTTGTATTGTTTGTTATGCATATTTAAATGAATGAACAATATAATCACACATATTCCACCAATCTGGGGAGGGAGGGAGGGAAGGAGAGAGGGAGGAAAGAAGGAAGGAAGGAAGGAAGGAAGGAAGGAAGGAAGAAGGATGGGGGGAGGGAGGGAGAGGGGGGAGGGGGGGAGGGAGGGAGAGAGGGAGAAAAGAAGGAAAGAAGGAAAGAAGGAAAGAAGGAAGGAAGGGGGGAGGGGAGGGGGAGGGAGGGAGGGAGGGAGGGAGGAAGGAAGGAAGGAAGGAAGGAAAGAAGGAAGGAAGGAAGGAAGGAAGGAAGGAAGGAAGGAAGGAAGGAAGGAAGGAAGGAAGGAAGGAAGGAAGGAAATTCACCATTAGCCATTCTGAAAAACCTGATGGATCAGGCTTGGTCTCTGCCATATTATTTTGCTATTCCACAAAGCTGGAAGATAGAAGGAAAGACACATATGGCTGTTCCTTTAGCTCAAGTGACAGACTTGTAATTCGGGAGTTCTGTCTGAGCTGTTTAATCTGAAAGGTCCTGGAAACAGGAGCTGTAATTTGTAACCCATGTTTTCATCACTTCAGCATTGTATCTGGATTATACTTGATTATTATAAAATTATGGTAATGAAAGAATTACAGTACTATTATGGTAATGAAATTACTTTTGGAGTAATTGTTTTCCTTCTCCTGTGTTGCTCCCTTCACTTCCTCTACCTATTGTGTGCCTAGGGACCAGGTATTTTTGTCATCTATAAATCACTCAGTAGCTGTTGGGTCCAGTGTGGAGGTATAAATAAATAACCATTCAGAGAGTGCGAAAGTTGGAGGTGGTTCTGAAAGTCTTGGTTTAGCTTCCTGTCTGGCCAAGATGTGCGACAAACCTGATCTGTCGGAGGTTGAGAAAAAGCTGAAGAAAATGAATACGGAAGAGAAGGACATGCTTCCTTCCAAGGAGATCATTGAACAGGACAAAGAGTGTGCCAAGTCATCATAGACCAGGGGCATGTAGGTCTGATGTTGTTTCTCAGTTGTTTCTCTAAAACAACTTATATATAAACTTAAATCTCAAGGAATGTTGCAGTAGCCCATCCATGGGCCTTCCCCCACCCCTTTTCTGGGCTTGGCCATGCCTTTTGCTTCCGTCACAGAAGAAAACATGATTCACAGGAAATTTCTGGGGCTTGACCAGCGTGATTCTCATCGTTTGCCTTTCTTGTCAAATGGGGCAATTTCATCAGTTAAATCCTAATTGGTAAAATTCTTTGTGATTGTTTTTGCAGCTTTACTTTAATTTCCCAAAAATGGAAAGAAAAATCTATTAAAATTTTAAAAATAAAACCAAAACAAAACCAAAACCCACCATTCACTGGATGTTAGTGAAGCTTTTTCCTCAAGTATAACTGCTGGTAATGCAAATGTGGATAGACATGCCTCTTCCTCTCTCAGTTCTCACTTTATATATGTGTGTTTCAAGGGTGGGTTCTACTTACCTTTACTACCGGTTCGCAACGGGATTGCACGCGCACACTTGCTTCGCTCACCCGCATGCCTTCTGTGCCTGCACAGATCGCTGATGATGACATCTGGAGCAGTGGGCGGGGCCTCCCGCCTGTTTTACTACCAGTTCTTGTGAACCGGTCTGAACTGGGGGCAACCCACCACTGGTGTGTGTGTGTGTGTGTGTGTGTTTGTGTGTGTGTGTGTGTGTTTGTGTGTGCCTTTACATCAGCATTGACTCCTAATACCTTCCTGGACAAGTCCCTGCAGTTTTCTTGGCAAAATGGCAGAAGCGTTTTGCCCTTGCCTCTTTCCTGGGCCTGAGAGAGAGTGATAGCCTCAAGGTCAGCCAGCTGATTTTGTGCCTGAAGCAGAACTAGAACTCTGTTTTCTAGCTGGTGCTTTAACCACTATGCCAAACTGGCTCTCCAGCTCTGGTTTCCCCTTTCCAAATAGTCATTGGTAGGCAACTAGGCTTGAGGAAGGCTTTCCAGAGAGGTGTCAATGAAGGCTTCTTTTCATGGTGAGTCTAGGACAACTCATCATGGTCAACTCCCCGTACGACAATTCGCCGCAGAACAATTCAATGCTGTATTAAACGTTTCATTCAATTACTTTTATTATCGATGACCACATTTTCATCTAAATTATTGCAACTGTTATATATCTGAATTAATTTTATTATTATTGGCCATGGTTCTGTTGAAATTAACTTCACTTTTGTATTTGTTGAATTCTCCTATGGCAAATCGTCCTGCGGTGAGTTGGCCATGGCGAGTTGGCCCATTCTGTTTTTTTCAAATCTCAGGGCTGTGGTGACAGGCTGGTGATGCAATACACATAGAAACTGGGTGACCCATTCAGCTTGTTTAAGGCCAAAACCCAAAAGCCTTCCATTTACATTCATTGCCATTTGTGTGCAAGAAACTCATGGACCAGGGCATCACTCTGTTCAATGTGCTTGAGATAAACTATATTAAAAAGAGGCAAGTGCAGTTTAGGTCTGGCTCAAATATAGCATTCCAATGCTAGAAGAACCAAGCAGGTTTTTGTGATGGAAAGTCACTGATGAGAAAAAGGCAAGCATAGCATTTATATTGCAGCTTAAGGAAAGCTGATGAAAGAATGGGTTGGTTTGGCTTGGATTTCTTTTTGGGGTGGGCCTTACTTCTTATGTTTATTCAAATTCAGTTTGAAAGAGGGGAGAAAAAAGCCTTAAGTTGTGAAGCTTTGCAGTGAGCTTCATTTTCAGTGAGCTCTGAACTCATCAAAGAAGGCTCAGCACAGATAGTACTTTAAGTCCCCGATACTACTATGAAACCAGATCTGTAGTAAAACAAACCCCTTTGACATCAAAGTCAGTTCCGCAAGTGTCTCTATACATTAAATATAAAAATTTTGCTCCAAAGTAGAAAAATAGGGGCAACTAAGATTCATTATTCAATTTATTACTGCCATGAGTCTCTGCGGCTTGATGCGCCTTCAAAAGCTTCATTTGATCCTAAGAGGCTTAAAGCTTATCCTGTGAAATTTTCTCCATAAATCCCAAGCTAGCTATGGAAAATCTGACATGTAAGAACTAATTCTCCTAACCTTTACTGACAGGCAGGCATATTTCTTTCAAAAATAAATTGTGGTTAACATTGTAATTAATCTTCTATTTTTATTTTGCCCATATTGTAGAAGAGTCTAGTAGGCTAGCCCAGTGCTTAATCAGAAAATGTGAGAACTGGAGTAATGTGTGATGCAGTAGCCCAGTCTTCTACCATGATTTTTTTAAAAAAATAAATACAGCCTGTATGTAATTTATTGTCATATGAGTATAATTAATCAAAAGCTTAAATTCATGCTAAATGTTAAAGAGAGTCAGGGGAAACAGCAAGAGTTTCAGGCACAGGTGAAAAGACATGTTTTGAACTGTCTAAATATTTGATTGACAGCAGGTCAGTCTACTCAGTAATAATCTGGAATAACCCTGGGATGCTAATTTCTTGGAGATCAAGTTTGCATAGTTCAGGAACTGTTGCGACAAGTTTAGCAGAACGGAGTGTCTGCTTTTTGCACAGATGTTGCAGAATGACATACCCGATATAAAATAAAATGTGTTCTTATGGGGGAGGGAGGCAGGGAAAGGAGGACTATTTGGGAAGAAATGAGAGTGCAGAATAGCATTTGTGCAGTTCAACAAGTCATGAAAAAGTAGTTTTATGAGAAGGGAAGCATGCAGGAGCATAGAGGAAAAGCATCTCTTTGAATCATTAAAACAACCACATCTTTTCCAAGATTCACAAGAGTGCTTCAGCAGCTTTTTCCTGGCTGTGACAGCAAATATATGTGAAAACCCACTTTCCTTCATTTTCTGGTCACTCCTACCCTAGAAAGTTTCAATCCACAAAATAGCTAGCTTAATGTCTCCTTTAAACTCCCTCCTCGTAAACTTCCAAATGAAAAATGGAGCACAAATATTTGGTTTTCCCCTCTCCACCCCGTCCCAGTCCTTGGAGCCTCCCAGACAGACAAGAATAGGAAATGCATTCCCCAAATCGGAAAAAGAGGCTCCCCACAGCTTCAAAAGAATCAACTGAACTCAAGAATCTTCCTCTTTAGAAAGGCTTTCTAGGTCTTGAAATTTAAATACGTAAAAAATGTGTTAAATATAGGACTATACGATACTTAGCAGTGCAATGAGATATTATTCATGCATATGGCTATTTTAATTACATTTTGCCTCCTTGAGAACTAAGGAACAATGCAAATGGGCAAATGAAATAAATAAATTAAAATTCAGTTTTGTTCCTCCTGAGGACAGGAATTTGTCCTTAAGGATTTCATTCCGTTTTACATTTTCTAATGTTTATAAATGTTTAAATGTTGTTATATTGCCCATTCAAGTGCAGAGGCGCACTTTAAATTATTTAGAAGATGCTGTTAAGGTATGAAGCAGTTCATTGATTCACCATTCGCTATTCTCTTATCTCCTGGATATGTCTGGGAGATTTGATTCTTTTGCTATTATTAAGCAGCAGCTGCCCCCCTCCCCCACGGTTTGAAACCTGCCTCCTGCCAGATGCCAATAATGATTAAATGTATAATTCAGGGAAGCTTTCGCCCTAATATCTGGAAAACATTTATCTACCACAGTGCAATAAAAGAATGTGCAAAACCTGGAGGCCACATAGTTTAAAGCACACTTCAGCCTTAGAATCCCAAAGAAGTTGCCACAATTTAATTTGTCCAGATATCCACCATTTTAACCCATAACAGGTTTTCTCTCGCTTATGGCCAAATTCTTAGATTGTAAATAAATGAGGATCTTCCTTATACAACCAGAAAACAAATAGCAGAAGAGAGCAGAGGTCCCAGAATACCTTGTTCCACACTTAAATAACAGGGGCAGTAGTGCTTTTAGTAAATAAATAAAAAAAGTTGCACTTTACTGTGAGGAAGGGCTGCAATCCAGGTTTGGTGACCTGCGAAAAATCACAAAGCAATCAATAATAGTAGCATTGCTAACTGAGTTAGTGCTTAAGAGTACAGAAAAATAGCAATAGCACTTAGATTTATATGCCACTTCACAGTGCTTTACAGCCCTCTCTAAGCGGTTTACAGAGTCAGCCTATTGCCTCCAACAAACTGGGTCCTCATTTTACCGACCTTGGAAGGATGGAAGGCTGAATCAGTCTTGAGCCAGTGAAACTTGAACTGCTGAATTGCAGTCAGCCGGCAGTCAGCAGACATAGCCTGCAGTACTGCACTCTAACCACTGCGCCACCGTGGCTCTTGATAGGCAGTGAGAATCCTGTCCCATTGGTGGGCAAGTCTCAGAATGGCTTATCAAAGGGCCCAGGTTATATCTGGTAGATCCAAAGATCAATCTGGTAGAACTAACCCATCCTAGAAGAGATGTGCTATTTTCCTATCCTAACTTTACCAACTGGTTTGTGTAAAGATTAGGATTACTCCATTAATTACAGCAAAACTTTTTTAAAAAATGAATGGATAGGTCACCTTCTCCTTTGATTTAAGGTCAGCAGTTTTCTCAGATCCACATATTGTTTTATACAGTTTTGTGAAGGATGAATACATGGTCCTTGCAGTGATTTTATTTTCTATTATGGTAATGTTTTTATTTTTTTTGTTTTAGAAAATGGAATGGTTTCTAAGCAGGTATCAAGGGTGCTTTTCTCACATATGGAGAGCAGAGCTTGTCTTGGTGTGCAATTAGAACAGCTTCTTAGAAAGATATCAAATGAGGGTAGCTGATTAAACAAGAACTAATGAATTCCTGCTGAGAGAGGGGGGAAAAATCATTAAAACGCTTGGCTTCAATCTATAGCAAGCTCATTTAATTCAAAGTATGGTAACAAATAGCTGATCGTATTTCTTAGCAGATTCCGAAGGAAATTAAATTGAAGTTAGATGGAATTTGGAGCCCGGCATCCAAAGTCAAACTCAGTACCTGTTGCTTAGTTTGATGAGCTACCGGGACAGCAAGCA